ACAAATAAATTATTTCATGCTATCTTAATTTGCTTATGTGTCACCCTTTATGTGTAAATCATGTACCCATTTTGACCTTATCTTGGTATATGGTGTGAGATGCTGTTCTCTATTTCTGCCATACTATTTTCCAGTTTTCCTAGCAGTTTTTGTCAAATAATGAGTTTTTGTTCCAAAAGCTTGGATCTTTGGGTTTATCATGTACTAGATTACCATGGTCATTTACTGTAATGTAATTTATACTGGGTATCTTTTTTTTTGCATTTAGTTACTTGCATGTTGTCTCCACCATTCAATTGGGAGCTCCTTGAGAACAGAGATAGTCTTTTGCTATTTTTGTGTCCCCAGCACTTAGCAAAGTTCCAAGCACATAATAGGACCTTAATAAATATTTGTTGACTTGAATTTTAGCATAATAGAATTTTAGACCTGGAAGAAACTAGACATTATCTCATTTAATGCTTTCATTTTATTGATGAGGAAATTGAGAGCCATAGAGGGAAAGAAACTGTATTACTGTTCTACAGGTAGCAAGTGGTAATAAGTTATTTTGGAATTGTCTTTTATAGCCAATTTATGAACCACCCAAGAAAATTGGTATCATTTTCCAGATTCAGATTAGGTGACTTCTGACTCCTATGTTATACTTCTGTCAGTTCTGTCATTCAACCCTGTTAGACTCTTTTTGTAATATAATGTTCAGGTCTGAGTAGCACAGATTGAAAAGGACATTGCTTAGTTAGAGTGTGTCCAGAAGAGGGCAAAAGGGTTGGTAAATGGCTTTGAACCTGTGTCATTTGATGAATGGTTGAAAGAATTGGGGATATTTAGCCTGGAGAAGGAAAGAATTAAGGTAGAGATGATAGTTGTCTCAGTTATGTGGAAAAGAGATTAGATTTGTTCTATTTGGCTGGAGAGGGAAGAACCAGGAATAATGAGTAGAATATACACAGAGGCATATTTAGTCTTGGTAAAAGTTAAAACTTTCTAATGATTAGAGATGTCCCAAAGTGGAATTAGATGCCTCACGAAGTTGTAAGTTCACCCTCTTTAGAGGTCTTCTAGAAGAAATTAGATGTCAGATTTTCAGATATGTTGTAGTAGGGATCCTTTCTCGGGTATGGGTTGGATTGGGTGGCTGCCAAAGTCCTTTGTAACTCTGAAATTCAATGATTCTTTTTTAATCTGTGAATTTTTACAACTCAGAAGATTGTAATATTTCATGTTATCTTTGGAGCTATATCCTATCTCAATAATACTGCCATTGTCAAAAATATCTTTGGAATTCAAAAAAATTATTTTGGAATTGCCTTTTGTAGCCAATTTATGAGCCACAAAAAGAAATTTATATCACTCATACTTTATAATCAAACCAATTTTTTTAGCCAAAAATATTACTCAGCATGGTCACCTATCTTACCATTTTCTTACTGGACTCTTTTAGCCAATTCCAAAAATCAAAACTATTATCAAATCTTTTGCATCATTGAAGATTTTTTTTTAACGTGCTACAGGCTCCTTGTGCATCTGGATAGTGTCTGGTATATAGTTCCTCTGATGGCATCATGGTTCTCATATGGCATATCGTTTCCAGTTCTCTAAATCAAGTGAGACATTTAGAAGTTACTCATTCTCTGAGTTTTTGATTATACACAGGTTGAGATATTTGAGTTTTTTAATTTTGCTTTGAAGAATAGAATACTTAGTGACTTTCTTGTTGAATTGTCACAGATTCAGAGTCAAGGATATTAATTAAGTTTGAGATGAAACTGAAGGAGAGAATGTTATTGGTTCCAACTTGCTCCTTGTGGATTGTGGCTTGAGGCTTGTCAATATTTCCATGCTCCCCTAGGTTTTGAACTCAGTCAGAAAGAGTTACTATGGCATGGAACTTAACCTACAAATTATTTCTCTCAGCAATGCTGTACACTTTTCCCAAGTTTTGAGACCAGGCTATGTTTTAGGCTCTGGAAGGAGTGAGAATATGTTGATATTTTCGGATTTATGATTCTCTTGAGACAGCCATGTCATCCATGCTTCTGCTCATGGGTAAATGGCCTATTAATCTTTCCTAGGTGAAGTCAAGTTTGGAGGAGATGACACTCGAAGAAGAGGAAAATATCACCATTAACTGCCTTAGGAAAACATGCTGTTTTGGCAATTCAGTGTCCTTTCGTGTCTTTAGTGCTTTGGGTCCTTTTCATTCTAAAATTTAAAAGGATGAGGATGCTGTCTTCAACTTGGTTATTGTATTTCAGTGTCTATAGAGGCATTCCTGACCCACCCTTCTTTTGTTGTTGTTGTTGTTATTTTCTCATTGCAACCATAGTTACTTCCTTCATCCCAAGAACTGTCCCCCTGTCTGTCATATTTATTTTATACATTGAGTTGGGTGTAACTTTCAATATATGCTAGGCATGGGCTTGGAAAGTTGCATATAAATGAAATTTTTGGAACTTGAATAATCATTTGACTAGGCTAGGGAAGGTGAGCATTTAAAAGAACCCTGGAGCTAATTCATTTATAAAGGAAAGACCCTTTTTGTGGATTGAATAATCCCTTATCCTCTGTTACTTTTGGGAATTGATGTAGCTTTTATTCTTTAATATAGCAAGGTTTCTTAAAGTCAAGCACATATGAATATCTCTTTTCCTCTGCAGTGCTTCTTTTTCATATCCCTTCTTAAATCTATCCTTTTTTTTCTTGAGTCTGTCCAGGGTTCCCCTGAAACAAAGCAACTATAGGTAACTTCTAAATAATGTGAAGAATAAAGTTTTCTAGATACTGGGAATAAGAGCCTTATTATCTATTTTCTCCTATGTTTTTAGGGTCCTGTCTATCATAATTTATAGGTTCTTAATGCAGCCATGCCAATTAGGATGGAAAATCAGGGCCTAGAATCTGAAAACAATCAGGCTATGGGCAGCTAGGACATATAACAAAAATTATAAAGATAGTAGGAGCACAACTCATTTTGTCAAACATGTCATTCTTGTGCAGGAAAATATGGGAAGAAAGTATATTAATTTGGGGACCTGGTAAGTTGGAAAAAAATCTTTTGGAAAGTATCCATGACTTTTATAATACCGAGATGAAAATGTTAGGAAGTAAAATTTCCTAACAACATAGGTCAATATAAAACTTTTTTTCCAAAAACTAGAATATATTTGCAAAAGGAATTTTAATTTTTAAAGGAATGACAATGATGTTTTAAGATTATCTAATTCCAAAGAGAAATAACCTTTTTTAATAGAAATGTATTTATGCTGTTAATTACATTGATGGGACCCTTCTGATGTGTGCATTTGAATCTGTTTCAGCATTTTTTATTTTAGGGTAAAAAATATATGTATTTTCAAACATGGAGGAAGGGCTAAATAACCCTTTGTTATCCCTTACAGCTCTCACGTTAGGTATACATGAGTTAAGTTCTACAGAGCCAAGGAAACAGGCTTTTGTTTGTTTGAATACTCTTTGAAACTGGGCTTCTTTGGAATTAGACATGCTTTAGATACTTGTTGGTGTCAGCCTTTGAGCAGTGGGATTGCCTGAAGAGACCATGCAATTTGGTTCTGCAGCCGAGGCCTAAAAATCCTGCTGCCAACCAGTTAAAGTGTGTCCAACAGAGACCTGATGGAAGCCCCCTTGTCCTTGGGAGATGAGGGTAGAAAGAGATTATGCAGATTGTAAAGAGATTATATAAAATCAGTGGAAGGGCAAGTTATGCTGGGATTTTCATTGTGAAAATAGTTTTATGGACATAAATTGGGTGAGGAAATTAGAGTACTTAAGACACCAATGTGGAGGCTTTACTTTTCTTTTCTTTAACAGTTTTTGTGTTAAGAGTATTGCCAAAAGACACAGTTTAAATGTAGAACAACTTTCAGACAGCTTTAAATTCTCCTCTTCAGTTTATGTGAAGTTACATGAACATGTTTAAAAAAGTATATGCTTGAAATGACTGGGCACTGCTCACATTTAAAGCTATACTTGTACAGTTTTCATATTAATATTTTTGTATATTTTGTAGAGATCTTAACATACATATACACCAAAAGGCTTTGCAGTTTTGTTGGGATCAAGTGAAAATGATTAATTAGATGAGTATTGAATTTTCTCACTTGAAGTTTACACAGTGTGTTTAGGCCTTGACTGTTTAAAGAGGCTTTCCCCTCTGACTTCCTACAACTAGGCAAAGGTTGTAAATATGAGTATGTATGTGTTAAACTCTGAGCATAATTTCTTTCTGTTGCCATGATCATAGAATAAACAATTCCTCACAAAATTGTTAGGCCCTTATAGCTGAACTTTTATCTGTGTTTAAAGATGCCTTAAACTTTTTTTGAAATATGGGTATAATTGTATGTGCAGTAGATTTTCAAATCTGGAAAATGTCAGTTTGGATATCATATAATTCTTGCATTCTGTGCACTTATTTATTTGTTAGCAAGATCTTGGTTTTGTTTTGTTTTGTTTTGTTTTGTTTTCCCACCAACCAAGGAGAATGAGAGAGGAAGAAAAAAATCATTGGCATGGCTGGGAATAGAAATTAATGATTCAAAGAAGAGAGGCAGTGCAGAAAGCCACAGCTGGTAGCAGGAAGTAGAGAGAGAGAAAGTCAAAGGCTTCTTTTTAAAAAAGGCAAAACAAACAACTCACAGAGAAGCGTACGTGAAAATCATTTCTAATAATAGCTTATGCTCAGCAGCTCAAAGGGAAAAAATAGGCATATGTGTGGAGAAAATGAAAGGGAGAATGCACAATGTGTTACTTAAGGCAATGGAACTTCATAGGTTACCTTATGTGCCATGTACATTGATTAAATACCAAATATATGGTGCCCATTTTTGACCATCATTTACTGTATTGATTTGTTAGCAGTGGAACTGTAATAAAAAAAGCCATTGATTTACTGTCCTTATTTGCTTATGGGCTTTTTTATTAATTTTATGTTTTTCTTCCTCTTTTTCTTTCTTTCTTTTTTTTATCATTTTTCTTAGACAAATGCAGTGCTTTGTGAAATCAGAAAAAAGGGATGGCCCATGGAACAAAAGAATGAAATCATAGCAGATTTACTTGCCTTGCTCACCACACGACAGGAGCTGCGAATGGAATGGTGTATGAGGTTAGACCTGTAATTAAATGGTTCTTTTTGTTTCCTGAAGTCTACAAGCAATATTAGCTGAAGAGCTTCCTTGTTGCTAGCTCAATTCTTCTTATTGGAAGACCTATGGAAAAAAAAAAATTACACTTAAGATGCTTTCTGGAGAAGCTTACTTTATTTTGGTATCTGCATTATTTATTGTGGTTTGTGTCACTAGTGTGTGTGTGTGTGAGTGTGTGAAAGAGAGAGAGAGAGAGAGAGAGAGAGAGAGAGAGAGTGATTTAGCTCTTGGCTTAATATTTAGCACAGATGTTTACATTTGTAAGCATAATGTACCCAATGCTGAAAAGCCAGTTTTACCAACACATTGAAAACCAATATAGATAGAAGCTTGGGAAATACTTGTAGTGAATGCCCTTATAGCACTTGATAAAGGATGAATTGCTTGAACATTTTTCACCTAGTATGTTTTTCCATCTCATTTGTGGGATATTAAATAAGTGTGAGTTACCATCAGGTCATCTCAGTTTCTTTGCTGTAAATTTGATTGTGCATCAGTGAGCTCTGAATTTTGTTGAGGCTTCCACCCAAGTTTCTACATGGTCAATTTTCCTAACATTTCTGATGCTATATTTTAACAGTCTACTCAGTGTATAATTTTAGAAATGAAAATGTATACCTATTCCCCAAAATATTCAATTTATAATGTAGACTTTTTGTTGCAAAGAACTTTGAGGTTGATATATATCTCTATGTAGCAGAGTAAGAAAGCAGAGTTTAAGACTGTGCTATATTTTGTAGTGAGAGTCTTGCTAATTACAGAAAACTATTTCTAATAATGAGGTATATCTCTTCAGAAACACAATGTTTTCAGAACATAGTTCTGCAATTGATAATTTACTATAATTTGTAGTTCAGTTAGTATCAATTATAAAAAAAATAAGAGGCTCATCTAAATCACAAAGATATAGCATAGTTTCATCAAAAACAGATCATGTCAAACCAACCTTAATTCCTATTTTGACTGGGTTACTACACTGCATTGGTAGATTAGGGGACTGTGGTAGCCGTAATTCATCTAGATTTCAGAAGAATTTAATAAATTCCTTCATGCTGTTCTGGTAGACAAAAATGAGAGTTGGAAACTAGACAATAGCATAGTCAGGGAGATTTGGAACTAGTTGAATGACTGGACCCAAAGAGTCATTGTTAGTTCAATATCAACTACTTTGGAAGACACCTGTGGAATGTCCTTAGGATTTGTACTTAATCTTATTCTGTTTAATGTTTTTATCAAAGATTTAGATAAAGAAATCGATGGTATGCTTATCAAATTTTCAGGGGATGCAAAGCTGGGATGGCTAGCTAGCATGTCAGATGACAGTGTGAAGATCCAAAAGATCTCAGTAATCGTGAATCATATCAGTGAGAGTTAAATTTAACAGGGAGGATAAATATAAAGTCTTACATTTGCTTCAACAAATCATATTCATCATATCGAGGAGATAAAGTTAGGTAGGAGTGCTTGAAAAAAAAATCTGAGTTTTCATGGATTATATACAGAATACAAGTGAATAGTGTGTTGGGCAGCTACAGTCTTTGGCTGTATTCAGAGGCCACATGGCCATTCTGACAGAAGATGCCAGTCATTGATAAACTGGAGAGTTTTCAGAACATGGCAATCAGGATAACAAAAAGCATCAAGGTCATACCTTGATAAGGTATTTTGGATGAAGGGACGGGGGATGTTTAGCCTGAAGAAGAAAAGTTTTAGGGGAGCAGTGTTATAACATTCTCCAAGTGTTCAGAAGGCTGGCTGTCATGGGGAAAAAGGGATTGTACTTATACTACTTGGCTCAAGAAGGTACAACTAGGAGCAGTCCCTGGATGTTGCATCAGATCAGGAATGGGCTGCCTTGTGAAGGCCCTGTGTTCCTGCTTGTTCACTCTAGGTTTTCAAGCAAAACCAAGATGAGTATCAATCAATGTCTTAATTAGCACCCACTATGTGCCATGCCCTATGTTATATGCTGGGAAGACCAAGACAAAAATGAAACCATGCCCACCCTAAAGGAACTTACATCATATCAAGGAACTGGTGGGGGGCAGGGAGAAGAGGGAGACTATACAAATATAAATATATACACCAAATATATACCAAAAAAATCAACATAACTTTGGCAGGATGAGGAGGCACACTAGTAGCTGCAAGTACTTGTGAGCTATGCCAAGGAGTAGGTTCTTCTCTGGGGTTTCTTCCAGCAGAATGTAAGTTTCTTGGGGGGATGGAGACAGTTTTATTTTTGATTTGGTATTCCCAATGCCTGCCATGGTGCCTGTTATATCCTAGGTGCTTAGTAAATACTTGATGAATTTCAGCTCTCAGATTTTTTGCTTTCTGGGATCAAGCCAGGCAAGATAGACTTTTCCAAAGAAGGAGACGTTCAAGAGAGCCAAGTGTCAATGGTATATGAATACCATTCATTTTTTATTTCAAGAGAGATGGATGAATTCATTCAACTTGAGTTGCAATAATTAAAAATTTTCTAATTTTTTTTCCTCTTAAACTTGAAGAGTTTAAATTGTTTTATTTTTAATGGATCTGTTTCTAATGCTATTTTTAAAAATGAAATGTCGGTTTGGAGAGATCTAGGTCTTCTTCTGTTTGACCCTTCTAGTTCTAGACCTTCCCTTCTGCTCTGTCCCCCAGTCTGCCTCATTTAAAGAAAAGATGGGCAAGGAGGAGGGAAAAGAGTCAAGAAAAAAAGCCACCTCTACCACCTTCTCCTTTCTACCTCAGGAGAAAACAAAACAAAACAAAACAAAGTCAGCCTTACACAGAGAAAGCATAAATGTTGAGAATGGATGTCTTTTGGAGAGTGCATTTGGTTTGTTAACAATAATTTCCTAATACACCAAATCACCAGGCTGCATGACAAAAATAGCTTGTTTAAAAGGAGTCTGGTTACAGTGTTTCTGGCTTTTACTTGCTACTAACAATTTAATCAGTTGTTGGAGCCACTGCTGAAGTAGATGTAGTCTAGTCTCTGAAACAAAAATGTTAAAGTACCTTGTGGCGTGAGGGGGTAGGAAGTGGGTGTGGGGAGGAGAGGGGGAAGAGAAAGCTTAGCAAAAGACACTGTGCAGGCCTCTTTAAAACTAAACACCTGAAAGAATATTTCAAGAGGGCAATGTCTTGAGAGCTCACAAAGTATCCTTAGGGTATTAAATAACTATAATCCTTCCCCCATCCTCCCCATCCCCATCATTTGATGTTTCCCATCCCAGTGACCTATCTAAGAGTCTCATCCATATGAACCACATAAACAGACTGTTACCGTACACCTCCTCCCTTTTTCCCATCAAAGCTTCAGCTGGATGTCTGGAATGAGGCATTGACTATGGTAGCCATCAAGCATGTGGTGGTGAAAGTTATAAAACATCCGCCACACTGCTTGCTGAGCTGCCTGGGTTTTAGAGATCAGCCTATTGTGTACTTTGGAATTACATGAGAAAAATGTGCTTGGACAGGAAATAATTAGCACTTGTCAAAGGCCAAGCAATAGGTTACAGTATTTTACTTTCAACAGGCTATCAGGGGATCAGCTAGATTAGATAATAGAATTTTTTTCCTCTCAAAGTTAAATACAGATGACTCTAATTACCTTATATTGCACATTAGAGAACTCATTATGAAGAGTACAACTTTGAGAAATATAGGTCAACCAAGTCACAACAGCTGGCAGAAACTTTACTGTAGGCCTACTGTAATATAACAATTTTGAGTCTTTGCCAGGTTCCTATGCAATACTGAGACTGGACAGGGTGGGATTGGGGAACAGTGTATTGTCTTTTTGTTTTGTTTTTCAAGGTAGAACTTCTGATATACCCATCAAATGTTGGCATGTCTTCCAGGCTAGGAGCTTGTTGGGCCATTATTTTGGCCTATCTAAAGAGTCTTGAACAGGAAGCACATGTGTCTTGTGGATTTAACTTTTAAAGAAGGTGACTGCTTTGCATGACTATAGGCACAGTTTGTCACAGTGCCATCACTGATCCCAAAGATGCATTTGAGTGCAAGAATTTCTATCCTTAAAGCTAATAATGACACCACAAACAACTCTCTTCAGATAGGCTTATCAGGGATGTTTATTCACTTTTGTGGGATTGACAGATCCAGAGTAGATCAGGAAAAAACTGAATGTGGGGGAAGTGTTAACAGAAGTGGTCCAGAATTTCTGAAGATTTAGGTTTGTTTATACTGTCTACTACTGTCTGATGGACAAGTTGTTATAGCTTTTAAAGACCTAGGCAAGCCCTCTGATCTGACCCCTTCTTGACCTCTGCTTCCAAAGGTCAGTCTGCAGCTAATAAACTATGAGGTTCTTAAGGTCTACTGTAGGAAGAAGCAGAAAAGGAACAGCTGGGAGACTTGTGTGGACTGGGCATCCCAGGGTAGTCTCCTTTAGGGTCATTCTCTGATAATGAAAATGATTACCAAATTATATGGAAGTTTAACTGCAATAGTGAGTGAGAGGAGGGTGGAGCCAGTGTATTAGATTTGATAAATGAACTGTGAAGTGGCCCATCTGGCTCTCGACAGCTTTTTTTTTTCTCTTTCCCTACCAAGGGGAAACATTTTAAAATAACAGCAGTACATATAGAATCAATGACCCATACAAGGAGCTGGGATAGATTAAGATTTAATGGTGACAGTGAAAGAATTATCATTTGAAAAGGATGACAAAGGAAAGGTACAGTTCAGTGCTGCTCTTACCAGAAATTCAGCACTTTTGTTTATATTAAACAAGCCTAGGCATCTTCCCAAGGCTGCCTTTCATTAGCATATTTAGTACTTAAGGTATGTTTGAAATGTATATTATGTAAAGGCCAAAAATGATTGTGTTCTACTACTCCCCAAGTTGCTAAAAACCTTATGATCATTCTTCAATTAAAGGGAGGGGGAATTCATTAGAAAAAAGAAACTTTTAAGTAATAAAATCCAAATGGTAAAGTATTGG